AAGGAACACTAATAGTGGCAGAAATTAGGTTCTTCCAAATATAACAGCCAACAAACTTCTTCACTGAATATTTATTACCATTTAAATCTGGCTTTGCCAGGAGTGTGAGCCTTACAGAAGACATTTATTGAAAATAAGCCTGGATGGAGCAATTGCAAGTTCATTCGACCTAGTTAAATAGAAAAATAGACAGCAGAAGGAACCCAAGGGACCAACTGGACAAAGGGAATGGAAGTTAACAGTACACTTCAGCTCAAGAGTGAATTAAAAAAACCCTCTGAAATTTATATCACGGGCAACAGAAGAAAGATGTGAAAGGGTCTTGGTGCTCTTTCCAAATGCCTAGTTACATTAAGAATAAAAGCAAGTACAAGCTTGTAAGAAATAGAAAACAGAATTTTAGAAAAACATAGATCTTAGAAATCAAGGAGCATAAGGACAAAAAGAGAATCAGTGGGAAACATATTTCCTTTGTGATTTATCTTTACAGACTGGGTTATAAAAGACAAAAGGGTTATCAACCATTTAAAAATCAGATGCAAAGCACTTATTCAACTGAAGGGACCTAGAATGAAAGATCATCTACACATGGTCCAAAACTAGAAGAGTATTTTACTTGAATATTGAGTAAAGACAAAAGATAGCCAATCAAACTGATAACGAGTAGAGGGATACAAATCTGGAAATTGCCACAACTGAGAGAGAAGCATAATTCAGTTTGGAGGAGAGAGATGAAAGACATGCCAAGTAATCTGCCAGAAGCACGACTGGCAAGTGGCAAGGATTTAGGTTATTCCGTGGTGTTTCCATGTGACTGACGAACACTAAAGCCAGTGCCTCCAATCTGAGGAAAAAAAAAATAAATAAATAATCATTTCAGCTTCACTACTTTGACTTCAGTAGTATGCAAACCTTTAAAGCATGTTTTAGTGGAAAAAACAATTAAGGTGTTCAAGATAAACACTAAATTTGAATTAACAAGTAAACCTGCTTCAAGTTTCAATTCTGACAGATTGATGCATTAGCTTTCTTTGCTGAAATAACTGATTTTCTAGATTAAAAAAAAAAGATCGACTTCAATTGTCAATTTCAGTAAAGCACAGGGCATCAAATGGTAAATTATTAAACCAGAGAAGAAAGTGATTAAGTAGAGGAACTGTGGGCAAGAAATTTGCTCATCAGAAACCAAGAACTTAGGAGTATGAAGGCGAAAGAACGGGACTAGAAGAAAGTGCATAAAAGATGGGCAAGCCATATTTGCACAGTACACGCTGCCCTAACAGTTATGCTTACAAGCACATACTGGTAACATCCACCACCAAACAAGCAGATGAGGCTAGAAGCATCCTTCTTGTACATGCACATTTCAGAGCATTTTAGGCTGCTGGTTTAAATTACATCTGCAAGAAGTGCTCCAAAACTAGAAGGCAGTTAAGGAGCCTAGACCAGAGTAAGGAAAAGTTACTGAAAGGTGACTGGAAAAATTCATCCTAAAACCAGTTCTGACTGAATAAACAGAAGAGTAGCAGAAGGAAGAAATTGTCTACAACTGGCTGAGGGAAAAAACCAAAAGAATATTCACACAAGAAAGTAAAGAGAGACAATAGGAGAAAAGAAATGTCAGTGTTCAGTGTTCTTAATTGGTTAATTTTTATTTGGCTGCAAATGAAAACAATGGCATTACACAAAATAAAATGGTCTGTGGTCCAAGAAGACTAGAAAATCTCGTGCTTAACAAAAGCTGAAAGTAGATTTAAAGGAGATGGATTCAAACATCCAGAAGGTAATGCAAATTCTCTACCTCCTTTCTGGAAAGATTGGTAATGAACTTCAAGTTACAGTACGAGAGATTTGAAAAGAGCATTATGAAGTCATGCATTTCTCAAGAAAAAGGTCTAAGAAAAATGTCTAAGCAGGAGCAAACACCCATGCCAACAAAAAGGCTGGAACAGCACTCAAATGCTCTCCCACCCCAAGGCCTGAGTCCAAGTCTTGCTGCTCCAGCAGTGACCCATACACCAGCAGGATGTTCTGTGAGTGGCAAGAGCTGAATGCCTTAGGCCATGAATTAGAGAACAAGCCAACAAAGGGAACCTTGTGGTCCATGTTTACTACACGCTGCCCGATCAAGGGGAGCCTCTTGACAAAGCCTTCTTAGTCCAGCTACAGGACGGATTGTGCTCCAAGGCTCGCATCCTGCTGGGGGACTTCAACCACCCTGACATATGCTGGAAAAGTAGCACAGCAAGCTGCAGGCAATCCAGGAGACTCCTGGAGTGCACTGAGGGTAGCTTCTTAGGCCAGGTAATAGAAAGCCCTACCAGAGGAAATGCGTTACTGGACCTGTTGGTCACCAACACAAGTGAGCTAATCACAGACATTAAGATTGGAGGCAGCCTGGGCTGGTTCCTGTGGAGTTCACAATCCTGAGGGATGCGGGACAGGCAAAGAGTAAAGTCAGGACCCTGAAATTTAGGGAAGCAAACTTCCATCTGTTCGAGTTAGTCAATGTGACCCCCTGGGAAACTGCACTCAAGGACAAGAGAGCAGAACAGAGCTGGTAGACCTTTAAGGACACTTTCCATAGAGCACAAGAGCTCTTGATCCCCATGTGGGGAAAGGAAGGAAAGGAAGGCAAGAGACTGGCATGGATGAGTCATGACCTGCTCGTCAAACTAAAGGGCAAGAAGGAAATGGAATGCACATACAGTGGAAGCAGGGCAGGTATCCTGGGAACAGTATAGGGATGTTGGCTGGTGGTACAGGGATGGGGTCAGGAAGGTGCAGCTGGAGCTGAACTTGGCAAGGGACACAAAGATTAGTAAGAAAGGCTTCTGTAGGTATGTCAGCTAGAAAAGGAATATCAAAGAAAGCATATCCCCCTGATTAACACGACTGACAAACTGGTAACAACAGATGAGGAGAAGGCTGAGATACTTAACAACTTTTTTGCCTCGGTCTTCACTGGCAATCTCCTCCCACACCTCTTGAGTGGATGGACCTCAAGGCAGGGACTGGGAGAGAAAAGTCCCTCCCACTGTAAGAGAAGATCAGGTTTGAGACCACCTGAGGAACCTGAACATACATAAGTCTATGCAATCCAATGAGATGCATCACAGAGTCCAAAGGAAATTGGTTGATGTAGTTGCCAAGCCACTCTCCATGATACTTGAAAAGTCATGGCAGTTAAGTGAAATCCCTGGTGACTGGAAAAAGGGAAACATTGCACCCATTTTTAAAAGGAGTAGAAAGGAGGACTCTGGGAACTACCAACCTGTCAGCCTCACTTCTGTGCCTGGGAAGATCATGGGACAGATCCTCCTAGAAGCTACGTTAAGGCACATGGAGGACAGGGAGGGGATTGGAGACAGCCACTATGGCTTCACCAAGGGCAAGTCCTGCCTGACCAACCTAGAGGTCAATGGCTCAATTTCTGGATGGAGATCAGTGACAAGTGGTGTCCCTCAAGGGTCCGTATTGGGACCAGTACTGTTTAGTGTCTTCATCAATTACATAGACTGTGGGATCGAGTGCACCCTCAGCAAGTTTCCCAACAACACCAAGCTGAGTGGTGTGGTTGGCACACCTGAGGGACGGGATGCTATCCTAGATAAGCTCGAGAAGTGGGCCCATGGGAACCTCATGAGGTTCAACAAGGCCAAGTGCAAGGTCCTGCACATGGGTCAAGGCAACCTCCAGTATCAATACAAGGATGAAGGGATTAAGAGCAGCCCTGAGGAGAAGGACTTGGGGGTGTTGGTGGAGGAGAAGCTCAACATGACACAGCAATGTGTGCTTGCAGCCTAGAAAGCCAACTGTATCCCGAGCTGCATCAAAAGAAGTGTGACCAGCAGGTCAAGGGAGGTGATTCTAGCCCTCTACTCCGCTCTGGTGAGACCCCACCTCTGTAGTACTGCATCCAGCTCTGGGGTCCCCAGTACAAGAAAGACATGGAGCTGTTGGAGTGAGTCCAGAGGAGGGCCATGAAGATGGTCAAAGGGATGGAGCACCTCTCCTGTGAGGAAAGGCTGAGAGACTTGGTGTTTTATAGTAGCCTTTCAATACTTAAAGGGGGCTTATAAGAAAGATGGGGATAGACTTTTTAGTAGGGCCTGTAGCGATAGGACAAGGGGTCATAGTTTTAAACTGAAAGAGGGTAGATTTAGATTGGACATAAAGAAGAAATTCTTTACAATGAAGGTAAACCTGGAACAGGTTACCCAGAGAGGTGGGTAGATGCCCCATCCCTAGAAACATTCAAGGTCAGGGGCTCTGAGCAACCTTATCTAGTTGAAAATGTCCCTGCTCATTGCAGGGAAGTTGGACTAGATGACCTTTAAAGGTCCTTTCCAACCCAAACTATTCTGTGATTCTATGATTCCTCACCTTCTCAAATATTGAGGCCTCTTCCCCGATCTCTGGCACAAACTTAGCAACTCAACTGCAAATACGCAGCTCAAACAGCTCTTTTCACCACAAACTCTCATTTAAGGTCTACTCACCCAAAGAGCATTTTTAAAGGGAAACAGATCCCAGCATACACTAGCAAATCAAAAGAAACAGCTATATAGGCTGTGTCCCATCCAGTGAGAACAACAGTATGCCATAAGTACTCACATGTCACTCACATACCAAGGCTTAAGACCTTCAAGCACCTTTTGCTGTGTTACTCATTTGTGCCAGCTAGCCTGTTCCGAAACCACCCCCAAGATCAAACCAGGGCTAGGGACTGTTCCTGGGAGGCAGGATATAGCCACCTGTTTTAGAGGCTAAGAAATCTGCGCAGGACAGCCCATACTAAACCAGACTAACTTTCCTCAGGATCCACAATTCCAGCTCTGAAAGGTGACTTATTTGCTAGGACAGATGTAGACAGTGTCTTAATTACAATATGCCTACTGTCGAGCTTCCTGCACATGAAGACATCATTAGGAAAACATCAGTCACCCCTGTCACTCCCCTCTGCCATCCCAGCCAGACTACTCCCACTAGTGACCTACCTGCACTGTGTGCATGCTATTAGTGCTGTGAAGAAACTCGCCTTCCTCCCCAGCTCTAACACCACCACAGTCCTCCAGCAAGCGCACCTTCATGCCACGCACCAGGTTTGCCTGTAAGTACTCCACGTAGCCACTGCGGTCTTTGAAGTCTGACGGGGTCAGGAAAGCACGACCCTGCTTTTTGTGCAGACCATGATTTGAAGCGAGCACAGGCATTTGGGCAGCAGTGCAGGCTGGGGTCTTGGGCTGGAAGATGGAGTGGGTGGTGCGAGGCCACAGCTCCTGTTGGGGCAGCAGCTCTGGCTCGTGGCTGTGGTCCCAGCCCATCACGTGCACCAGCTCCAAGATGAGGTTTGCCATAGCCATGCTGAACTCAAACTCCTGCTTCACACGGCTCCTCTCCTCAGTCAGCAGCCCGGGCACGGCGCAGTCCTGCTGCTCCCCTCCCTGCTCCATGCCACTGCTGAGCTTGTCCATGAGAGAAGTGACACACAGGTAGCGCTTCACCAGGACGAACAGCAGCTTCCCGGGGATCTGCAACAAGCACAGCTGTCGGACACCACCCTGCAGAGCACCTCCAGCCCCAGCTCTCTCCGAGCCACCAGCTCACCCACAGCCAGGCTCCTGTGATAGCTCCAGACCTTTCAGCCCACCCTTGTCCCTCTGCTCAGACAAGGCTCTCCATGTGCCTCTCCACCACCTCTCCCAGCCCCAAGCCAGGCCCAGATCCTGGGACAGCTCTCCCAACACCCAGTCCCGCTCAGCTGCCCACTGCCAACTACCCTCCTGTCCCAAACAAGACCACCAGCTCTGGCCCCCCACTCTCACCCCTCCTGACCCCTAAGCCCACAGGCCCAGGGCTGCTGCTACCTGTGGAAGATGAATGCCCTCAAAGGACATGCAGTGCTCTTCAGAAGACATCATCTCAGCAAACAGCTCCAGCAAGGTGTAGCGACCATCAAAGTCCATGTGCTGCTCAATGCCATCCTGCTGGCTCAGGGACAGCAGGACATAGGCCCAGCTCCCTGCAACAACAACAGAAACCCTTCAGGCCCCCTAAAGAGAACCCTACCCCACCCCCTGTGCAGGCAAGAAACAGCTTTGATGCTCAGTGTAACCTAGAACCATGTTCTGTCCTTTAATCTGGATTGGCAACATTTTGCTCCACTGAGTAACACCAGATTTTTCCACCCCTAAAGCTGCAAGATTCCCCCAAAGCAGCAACCCCAAATAACTGACTCCAGAACACGGTCCCAGGGAATAAAAAAAAGTTACGTTAGAACCTGAATCAGCCCCCCATCTGCCCCACTGGACAGCAACGTGAACTCTAGGACAGGGAAAGCCAGATCGCTTGTGGGACACACACACCACCACCAGCAACCTTCCGGGCACACCCCTGACCCAAACTGGCCCAAGGGATATTCCATACCATATGACATCATGCTCAGTATATAACTGGGGGTGGGCAGGGAGGCGGGGCAGCTTAGGGTCTTGCAGAGCATCAACTTCAGGTGGTGAGAAATTGTACTGTTCATCACTTGTTTTGTATGTTGCTATTATCATCTTCCTTTTTTGTCCTATTAAATGGTCTTTATCTCAACCCACAAGTTTTGTTGGTTTTTATTTCCTTTTCCATCTTCAATTCTCTACCTCATCCCACTGGGAGTGGGGGGAGTGAGCAAACAGCTGTGTGGTTGTTTTAGCAGCTGAGCTTAAACCACGACAGTCCTTTTTGGCACCCAATGTCGGGCACAGAGGGTTGAGGTAACAACAGATCTGACCAGAGCATGTTAAAACAAATTACTTGCAAACGTTCATTACATGAGTTTAATAGTTGCTGGACACAACGTTGTATTATTCATTTGTGTCATTAGTTGTGTCATGTAAGTCCTTAACTGTATTATGTATTCCCTATGTGCTGTTTATCTTCTCTGGGCACTGGATGAGAATGTTCCTGTTGCTGCACTGCGTACTACTCACTTAAGATAAGATAACATTGTTGGCCATAAGAATGATTTGGTATGTGTATTCATCATTGCTATTGCTTCCATACCTCAGGTGCTATCTCCTGGGAATTATTAGGAATCACACTCTCTACCTTTCTTCTGTGGAGAACCAATCTATGGGGGACACAGGGGAAACACCTTCACCTTCCCTTTCTCCTTCAAGCTAGTTACAATAGCCCTTGAGAATTTTGAATACCCTTGGGATGTTCAGACCAGCATGCTTCTATTGCTAGGTCTCCTGAATGTCTTTTGGGTCTTGTTCAGGGTTAAACTATTTAAAAATATCACCCGGAGATCTGCCCCGAGGCTGGATAGTTATGAGTGGCAGGGTGTGTGGGGTAGCATGGGCAAATGCCTAGGGTGGTGGGCACCCCCAGTGTTTTGGAAATTCACCCCTGAATAAAGTGCAGAATCCTGAAAAGCTAGTAGAACAGTTGGAAAAAGTATGCTGTCACCCTGGCAATTTCCAGAGAGACACAAATCATTGCAATGTGCTGGGGCCTGGCCCATGCCTACCGAGCTCTGTTCAACGCTATTCAGTACCCTCAAAGGGAAGAGAAGGTCTCTGGATCTCACAACAAAACAACAGGCACTGTAGCTACTCCAACCCCCACAAAAAGCACTGCAGCCACTCCAACCCCCACAACTGGGACCACAGCCACTCCAACCACGGTGACAGGCACAGTGGCTGAACCAAAATACCAACCCGTGCCAGTATCAGTTGTCCCTATACAAAAGAATAAATACTCAAAAAGATCAGTTTGCTTAGTAAGGGATGACAATGAACCTGGGTCATCAAGAGAACAGGAGAAAGAGGGGCCAACAGTGGATAAAATGGCTGGCCGACTCTGGCAATATGAAGAAAGTCTTTCTTCCTCCCTTGTCTCAGCTGTGGAGAAACCATCCTAGAAGGTCCAGCAACTCTAAAGAGAATATGTCCTACTCCCCATCTGTACAGACCAGTATCTCAGACATTCAGAGTAAGCATTCCTCTGCTCAAGAGAGAAGATATAGAGGGTATACATCACGAGGCACCCTGTGGTTTTACCCATGTGATCACAGAGAGGACGTGAGGAAGTGGGATGGGAAACCTACCTCGACCCTACAGGCATGAGTACGTGAGTTGCAAGGAAAAACAATCACAAAAGAGGATTCTTCCAGGAAAAATGCCACTCCAGTTTCCAGCTGGCAGTTCCCCAGACTGAGTGGAAGGCCTGATCATACATATGATCCTCTTGAAGAGACTTCTAAGTCATTTTTTACAAGAAATGGGTAACAAATATGATGATCAGGATTACAGGGGCCCTGCCTCCAGCCAGGTGGAGAAAATGGACAACTAGATTTATTGGACTGTGTGGCTCCGATGGTGTGGCACGTTAGACCCACAAGAGTATAAGGCTGCAGTGGATGCCAGTGCACAGTGCACCCTAATGCCATCCAGCTATGAAGGGGCAGAACCCATCTGTACTTCTGGAGTGACAGGGGGATGCCAACAGCTAACTGTAATGGAGGCTGAAGTCAGTCTAACTGGGAATGACTGGGAAAAGCACCCCATTGTGACTGGCCCAGAGGTTCCGTGCATCCTGGGCACAGACTACCTCCAGAGAGGGTATTTCATGGACCCAAAAGGGTACCGGTGGGCTCTTGGCATAGCTGCCTCCTCCACCTTGGAGGTGGAGGAAACTGAACGGTTGTCTACCTTGCCTGGTCTCTCGTTGGATCCTTCTGTTGTAGGGTTGCTGAAGGTCAAAGAACAAGTACCAATCACTACCACAACAGTGGCAATACCGCACCAACCGAGACTCCCTGATTCCCATCCATAAGCTGATTCATCAACTGGAGAGCCAAGGAGTGATCAGCAGAACCCACTCACCCTTGAACAGTCCCATATGGCCAGTGTGAAAGTCTAATGGAGAGTGGAGGCTAACAGTAGACTATCATGGCCTGAATGAAATCACGCTGGTGCTGAGTGCTGCCAGACATGCTGGAACTTCAATATGAACTGCAGTCAAAGGCAGCCAAGTGGTATGCCACTGATCACACAGTGGGCTCAGATAGGAAACCCCAACTGCCCAGGAATCTTGGAAGTGATTATGGACTGGGTAGAAGGCAAAGATTTCAGAATATCGCTAGAAGAGGAGGTGACACGTGCTGAAGAGGCCCCACCATATAACACATTACCAAAAAATGAGAAGCAATATGCCGTGTTCACTGATGGATCCTGTCATATTGTGGGAAAACATCAAAGGTGGAAGGCTGCTGTATGGAGTCCTACGCAATGAGTTGCAGAAGCTGCTGAAGGAGAAGGTGAATCAAGTCAGTCTGCAGAAGTGAAAGCCATCCAGCTGGCTTTAGACATTGCTGACCTATGCTGACTCATGGATGGTGACAAATGCCCTGTGGGGGTGGTTACAGCAGTGGAAGCGGAGCAACTGGCAGCGCAGAGGCAAACCCGTCTGGGCTGCTCCACTGTGACAAGGTATTGCTGCCCAGCTAGAGAAGCTCATTGTAAAAGTACATCATGTAGGTGCCCACGTACCCAAGAGTTGGGCCACTGAGGAACATCAGAACAACCAGCAGGTGGATCAGGCTGCTAAGACTGAAGCAGCTCAGGTAGATCTGGACTGCCAACATAAAGATGAATTAATTATAGCTCAGTGGGCCCATGACACCTCAGGTCATCAAGGAAGAGATGCGACATATAGATGGGCTCATGATCAACCAGTGGACTTAACCATGGATGCTGTTGCACAGGTCATGAATGTGAACTATGCGCTGTGATTAAACAAGCCAAGTGGTTAAAGCCTCTCTGTATGGAGGACAATGGCTGAAACATGGGGAGGCCTGGCAGATTGACTACATCACAATCCCACAAACCTGCCAAGGCAAGCAACATGTACTTATAACAGTGGAAGCAACCACCAGATAGCTGTAAACATACCCTGTGCCCCATGCCACTGCCCGGAACACTATATCTGGCCTTGAAAAGCAAGTCCTGTGGTGACATGGCACCCCAAAAAGAACTGAGTCAGACAATGGGAGTCATTTCTGAAACAACCTCATAGACACCTGGGCCAAAGAGCATGGCACTGAGCGGGCGTATCACATCCCCTACTGCGCACCAGTCTCTGGGAAAAATCAAACAATATAATGGACTGCTAAAGACTACACCGAGAGCAATGGGTGGTGGGACCCCCAAACATTGGGATACACATTTTGCAAAAGCCACCTGGTTAGTTAACACTAGGGGATCTACCCTAGTAGACCAAGCTGGCCACGCCTCCATGAGCATGGACCACGCCAGATGCATCAGCTACAAGTTCCAGATGCACCACATAGTGATCTACCATCTCTCCTGCCCTGAAAGACCGTTATGATGGACAGAGCCCAAAGTCATGGACTACAGGAACTCAATGGACATTTTGTGGACATTTATGAACATTTTACAGATGTTTCACAGTGGTGGTCCATCGACTAAGGCAATGATACCTGCGTGTATATATCAAAAGACAAGAAAAATGGTGGCGATTAATTGCAATGTATTGGAAAGTGTGTGACCTGGGCATGATGTAGATATTATAGAATAAGGGGTGGATACTGTCCTGGTTTCGGCAGGGATAGAGTTAATTTTCTTCCTAGCAGCTGGTATAGTGCTTTGGATTTAGGATGAGAATAATGTTGATAACACACTGATGTTTTCAGTTGTTGCCAAGCAGTCAAGGACTTTTCAGCTTCTCATACTGCCCTGCCAAGGAGAAGGCAAGGGGCACCCAAGAAGCTGGGAGGGGACACAGCCAGGACAGCTGACTCAAACTGGCCCAAGGGATATTCCATATTATATGATGTCATGTTCCATATATAACTGGGGGATGGGCAGGGAGGTGGGTCAGCTCGGGGTCTTACAGAGCATCGACTTCGGGTGGTGAGAAATTGTGCCGTCCATCACTTGTTTTCTATACTCTATTATTATTATTATCATCTTCCTTTTTTGTCCTATTAAATTGTCTTTATCTCAACCC